TCTCAAGTGCTGAGATTACAGATGTGACCCACCAACCCACCTCACTCAACTACCCTTGGCATACTTTTACCACATGTAACCAACAGTACCCTTTCTATTGGCTCTTCTGATGAGGATGTACAGCCTTGCCTAGTGAAAACCAATTTTATCTCTGTGTAATCAAAGCACACATGCCTGAATACCAGTCACCTTCTAGTGGATTCCTATTTTACCTTGATTCTTTTGTTCTACTACACTACTCTTCATCCTTCAAGAATAAAAGGAAATTTCAACTCACCCAGGTGGCAAACCTTCAACTTCAATCCTCTTGTCTTAACCTCCTAAATAGCTACTGTTATAGGTGTGCAATGCCTAGCCACAACTGGGTGAATACCAACATAATCCAGGACCAGGGAATCAGTGTTTACGGTCAAGTGTGCTAGCACTGTATGCTTCTAAGCCTAGTGCTAGGAGATAGGGCAGGCTGGTTGTAAGGATCCTAAGTTCAAAGCCAGGCTTATAAGCATAACTAGGCCCTGTCTCTACCCTTCCTCTCCAAGAGGCAGGCATGGCAGCTACCAACTCTGACTTCAGTACCCAGGGAGGCGGAGAGAGGTAAAATTGCCAAGAGTCTGTGACCTGTTTGTTATACTCAGGGATCCCTAGTCCAGCTAGGGCTACAGAGTATGAGCCTACTCTACCTCCAACCCCTGAAAACATATAAGTACAATTTAAAAGCCCATACAAACTCACCACCAACACAAATATTTTTTTTCTCTTGTAATTCTGCAAATGGAACCCAAGGCCTTGGCCAGCATTCCATCACCAGGCTCCACCTCCAGCCACACAGACAGAGGCCATGGAGACATCCACTGCACATTCTGTTTTCCTCTCCACACAGACAGAGGCTATGGAGACATTCACTGCACATTCTGTTTTCTTTTTCAGCAAGGGAAAGCTTACCCCCAACCCCATCCTCCAACAGGCGGTAGTGTACAGACTGACAAAAAAATGCACTGGCCAATTTAAAGAACAGACAACAAAGATTCAAGTAAAAAAAAAAAAAAAAAAAAATTCCACAGTTGAGGCCTGGAGAGCTGGCACAGTACTTAAAAGCACTTGTTCCTGCACAAGTCCCAAAACCCACATGGTGGCTCACATCATCCATAGTTCCAGTACCAGGGAATCCAGTGCTCTCCTCTGACCTCTATAAGCACTAGGCACTCATGTGGTACACAGATACATACAAACAAAATGCTCATACACATAAAAAATAAATCTTTTTTTTTTTTTTGTTTTTTTGTTTTTCGAGACAGGGTTTCTCTGTGTAGCCCTGGCTGTCCTAGAACTCACTCTGTAGACCAGGCTGGCCTCGAACTCAGAAATCCACCTGCCTCTGCCTCCCAAGTCCTGGGATTAAAGGCGTGCGCTACCGCTGCCCAGCTAAAAAATAAATCTTAAAAAAAAAATCAAGAAAAGAAGACAACCCATGGTGAAGGTCTAGAAGGATGGGTCAGTGGTTAGAGCATTTCTGGATCACCATTAGGACCAGAAGTCAGACTTGGATCTTGGCACCCATGTAACAAGCTAGGTGTCCCACAAATGCTTGTACCTCTAGCTCTGAAGGATGCACTCTTCTGGCCTATAGGTGAGCAAAGTTGTGTACCCACACTCATATACTCACACACACAATATTTTTTAAAATGCATAGTTGAATACTCCAAGCATGTCTAAAAATATACCCAGAGGGAATGAAATATTCCCAAATGAGGGTAAGGTACATCCTAGATAGGCTGTGTTCAGAGATCTACAATGTAAGTCTTAGTCCTTTACACATGCACACAACGATTAGGCACCTAGAGCCTCATATATGATATGCAACTGCGGTACCACATAGGTATATCCCCATCTCTCCCTGAGCCGTCTTGAACTTCTTACTGTATTTTACTCAGTTGCTCAGGATGACCTTGAAATTACTCTGAAGCTTTGAACTAGTGATTTTCTGCTAAGAAAAATAAAAAGTTTAAGTCTGTAAAAAAAAAAAAAAATCTATGTTTTACCTGCATGTGAGTAAGTATACTGCATGTGTTCTCATATTCACAGAGGCCAAGAGAAGACACTGGAACCCCTGAACCTGGAGTTGGTTATAAGCCACCATGTGGGTGTTGGGAACTAAATCCAGATCCCCTCCAAGAACAGCAAGTGTTCTAAGCCATTTCTCCAGACTTAAAAAGACTTGTTTTTATTTATGTATAGACATGTATGTTGTGTGTATGTATACATATATGCAGGTGCCCTCAGAGGTCAGAGATGAGCACAGGAACTCTTGGAGCTGGAGTTACAGACAACTGTGAGCGGCCTGACCTGAGTGCTGGGAACTAGTCTTGGGACCTCAGCAACTTAAGACTATGTTTGCAGCTCTGAGATCCTCTGCTTTAAGCCTGTAAGTAGCTGGGGTTACAGATCTACCACTAGGTCTGGCTCTTCTTATAGTCTACACTAACAAAGTACTTTAGCTGGGTGCTGTGACACACCTGTAATCCTACCACATATATATGTAGAACCACCAAGCGTTTACCCCACCCTTGACCATGTGAACTAGAAGCTCCAAATAACTAAAGTACCCGACCAACCGACCAACCAAAAACAGTACATAGCAAACTACAGCATGCCAAATAACACACAGCAGGCAGCATTTAAGACTATAGGAAATTTTACAGAGAAAGTCTTTTATGCTACTCTCACGTTATGTGTAACAGCTAAAAAATATTTAGCAATAAATCAGAAAGTGAAAAATTCAAAGGGCTGGAGAAGTAGTTCAGTGTTGAACTGCCTAGCACACAAAAGGCTCTGAGCTCCATCTCCAAGCACTGAAAACAAGTCCCTCAAAACAGACCCAGAAGGCCGGGCGGTGGTGGCGCACACCTTTAATCCCAGCACTCAGGAGGCAGGAGACAGGCGCATTTCTGAGTTCGAGGCCAGCCTGGTCTACAGAGTGAGCTCCAGGACAGGCAGGGCTACACAGAGAAACCCTGTCTCGAAAAACCAAAAAAAAAAAAAAAAAAAAAAAAAAAAAAAAAAAAAAAAAAAAAAAAAAAAAAAAAAAAAAAACTGCACAGATAGATGGCCAGTACTTGTGATGGTCACAACAGTCTATAACTCCAGTTTCAGTTATTACACCTTCTGGCCTCAGTAGGCAGTGCTACATGCCACCTCACCAGTGTGAACCCTGGGAATGGCACTAAGGCCATCTCACCAGTGCAAAAGCAGCAACTCCTACTCTAGTAACTTACAAGCCCTCTTGGTCTCCAGAGAGAAAATACAATATTCTGTTTCTTCTCTATCCTTTGCGTCATCTTTTAATGCTGACTTTTACACTGTAGCATGTGTTTTCTCAGCATATTGACCTTACAACAAACATGAAACTCAATTTAAATGAATTTTTAATTCATTTAAAATAGAGACAGAGGCCGGGTGGTGGTGGTGCATGCTTTCCCCATCTCAATAAATGGTACAGGCATCTATCTATGTGGTTGCTCAAAACAAGAATTAAAAAGGGAATGCTGGGCATGTGGACAAAAAACCTATAATCTCATCATGCCAGAGGTGGGGACACAAGAATCTGGAGTTCAAAGCCATCTCTGGCTATATACAGAGTTTGAAGTCACTCTGAGCAACAGAAAATCTTGTTTCAAAATAAAAACTAAATATCCAAAACATGCATACACACACACACACACACACACACACACACACACACAGCCCTCAGCATGTGGTGCCTGCAAGTCTGGCTCTTAGGAGTTGAGAAGGTGCAAGAGATTAAGGCCAACCTGGGCTACAAGCGATCGATCCCTTTCCCTTCCAAGTCTTGCTAATTCTACTCCAAAATACCCTCATGTTTCCACTCTGCCCGCTTCCATTGTCCTGGGCTCAATCCAGGCTACCACAAAAGCTGCATCCTGACTCCCCAGCTCCACCCACACACACACTTGACTTCTCCGATGTAGTAGTGGGATTGTGCCACTACCTTCTCAAAACCTTTACACAAGCTTCCTATAAAAAGTAAGTCTGCCAGATGTAGAACACAGTGTTAATTCCAGCACTGGGAAAGCCGAGGTCGGCAAATCTAAGTTCGAGGCCAGCCTGGTCCTACAAAGAGGACTGAGGTTCTGAGACAGGACTATGTATGTATATGTAAAGAAACCCTGTCTTAAATGAACAACAAAAAGTAAAACAATTAAGGCACCTGCCCCTCATCTGTTGTTTTGGTCCTACCTTTAAGACAGACTACACAAACATACAAACCCATAGTAATTACTTCTGAACATTAAAACTTCTTTGTCCTTGTCTACATTTTAAAAAATTTTTAGGGTGAATACTTGCTACTTATTAAGGGCAACGATACTGCTGAATAAATGTGTATTACGTTCTATTTTACGTTAATTAGAAAACGTAATTTTAAAAGTGGGATGTTTCTGCAATTAGGTATGTGCCTACACAAAAAACTAGGAATATCAAAACTAGTAAGATGTGAGTGAGCCGCAGAGTTACAGGACACAGTATCTTCTGTTTAACACAGATACTTGCATAATGGAGATGAGCTCTAAGCCTTATTGTCTTCTGCATTCCGGCTACAACCCATCGAGCCGTCTTTCTGGTCAAGTCCTCACTTTCCGAAGCTTCCATAAGACACAGCACCGTCCTACACCCTCGTGCAGACTCCTCGCAACCTTCCTAAGACGCTGCAGATTTCTTTGGGCAAATCCAAACTTGCCGAGGCGACCTCGTCTCGGGACCACCCGCAGGTCACCGCGCAAGCTCAGCCGCCCCGGTTGCAAAGAGCGCCGTCTGAGGCTGCGCGGCGGGAAGGACCCTCCCCACGCCGGACCTGGCTCCCAGCGGACCCGGGCGCCCACCCGTCCGCGCTGCTGAGGTGTCCGCGCGGCGCCCGTGGGGGAGGGGTGCACGTGCCCGCGCCAGACAATGCCCCGCACAGGACGCGCGCCCGTGCCGACACTCACCCTTCCTGCGCGTCGGCTGCAGCGCCGCCCCGCCGGGACCCGGAACCCACACGCGGAGAGAAGGAGCGAAAGGTCTCCTCCCGCGGAACCACCGCGCGAGGCCAGGGACGCGCCCGCGCGGAAGCTCACAACACACAGCAGCTCGCCCGCCGCGAGGCTCCGCCCCCCACGTCACCTCGGGGGCGGGGCGGCGCGGGCGCGCGCGCAGTGGAGGCAGGGCCAGGGCGGCGTGGCCGCGGGGGCTAAAGCTGCCCCCGAACTCTGACCCGGCTGCGTCGCACCTTCAGGTTGAGGCGGTCAACCCTTGTCTTGATGCTGAAAGTTTGAGAGAATGCTGGTTCTCTTGTAGTTATGGCAACAGTAACTATGGTGACTACTGCTGAGCGTACCACCATGTGTCACTGTGCTTAGTGATAGGGGTGTATATAGCAGCAGTAACCTAGTATCGTGGGGTAATATTTGTAGTCTGGAGACTGAGGCAGGGGCATCATAAATACAAAGTCTAGCTACATAGTGAATTTAAGGCCCTGTCTCAAAGTAAAAATTGATGGTATAGTGCTTGTTTAGTGCAATGCTGGGATTCCAACCTCCACCACCATAAATATATTTTTTTAAACAAAAAAAAAAAAAAAAAAAGGAAAGAGAAAAGGAAGGAAGGAAAGACAGGAGGAAGGAATTAATCATTATGAATCCATTTTACTTGGTGCACTAGCGTGGGGTGTAGTGGCTCCCCTCCCCTCTGGTCCGAGATACTTTGTAGATTGACCTCAACAAGGAAAGGGGTAGGACAGAAGGTTTGGAAATGTTGATTAACTTTTGTTTGGTTGGTTTTTTGTTTTTGTTTTTTGAGACAGTATTTCTCTGTGTAACTATGGCTGTACTAGAACTAGCCTCAAACCCAGAGAGATTTGCATACCTAAAGGCAAGTGCCACCACTGCCTGGCAATATATTGAAAACTTAATGTAGATCTCAGCTAGTGAGGGACAATCCATTAAACCTTGTTTTTCCCTTTAAAATCACTTGAAACCAGGTTTCTTCCATGATACCACACACCAAGCCCTCCTATTACTTCTTCAGGACTGCAGCCTCCCGGCTGTCCTGGGAGCTGTCTCAGCCTTCTTCAGCTCTTGCTTGTTGGCGTATTTACTTCGAAAGCTGAGTTTTATCATATTTTATGTGCATATTGTCATTTTTATGCATTTTATTTAATATGAAATATTTTAAAAGTTATGTTCCTATATCCTCTATAACAAGCCTAGTCATGGGCCAGGAATAGTGACCCATAACTTTGATCTCAGCATTTAGGAAGCAGACACAGATGGATCTCTTTGAGTTCAAGGCTAGCCTGGTCTGTATAGTAAGTTCCTAGCCAACCAGAACCAAATAAAAAGAACTGTCTTAAAACAAGCCCAGTCATGACACATAGTATAGATTCTAAAACTGTCACATAGTATAGACTCAAAAACTGTGAACAGTGACAAAAGACTAGGGACATTTATCTTACCCTTGGCCTCCTGACTTTAAGGTTTATCAGGAGTAAAATTAGATTAACAGTTTCCTCAACAATGTTTATTGCTTCTCTATTGTCTGGGACTCTCTCCTAAATATGTCAGTTGGGCACAGAGGACACAGAAGTACACAAAGCAGAATTAGCCCTGATAAAATTTTCAACCTCATAATTTTTATCTTTCAGGTTAGCCTCCCAAGTACTAGGATTATAGGCACATGCAGCAACCTCCACAGTATTACTGTTTGACAAGGAAACTGGACTTAATCTAAATTTAGGCCAAAAAAGTCTTTTTTGACCCTGAAACGAAAATACAGGAGTCTGGCAGATAAAAAATAAAGTTCCTGGAGGTGGTGTATGCAAGCTGATATATGTGTGAGGTCCTGGGTTCAATTCCTAGCACCTATGAAATCAACTAATTTCATTATGAATGACAATAGTCCCCATTGGTTCATATATTTAAATGTCTGGTCCCTAGTTGGTGGGACTGTTTTGGGAAGGATTAGGAGGTGTGGCCTTGTTGGAGATGTGTCACTGGGGTGGGCTTTGAGGTTTCTAAATTCCATGCCAGGCCATCTCTTTCTCTCCGCCTCTACCTTTTGGATAGATGTAAAATCTTAAGCTATTGCTCTACTGCCATGCCCGCCCTGTTTTTTGCCTTATTCCTCCATAAGTTATGGACTTACTCTCTGAAACTGTAAGCAAGCAGACAATTTTTGTTTTAATTTTAAACTGAGGATCAAACCCAGGGCTCTATCACTGAGTTAAATCCCCAACCCTGTAAGCCCATAATTAAATGCTTTCTTTATAAGTTGCCTTGGTCACAGTGTCTCTTCATAGCAATAGAACAGTAACTACAACATCAAAAATGAGGTTAAGGTGAGGTCAGGCTGAGTATATTGGAGTGCCTGGGAAGCTGGAAGCCCACTTCCTTGGTCAGCTGGAAAGCTGCCTAGGGTAGAAGCCACAACAGTAACAGTGAACGAGGGGGCAGTCTGTGATGGAGCTGCTGTTTCTCGCTATGGCTTTCAGATGGCATGCCAGAAACCCAGATTTTGGGTGGACTGTGATAGTGCATGCCTATAATCCCAGTTCTTGGAAGGTAAGGACAGGAGGATGGTGATTCGAGATAACCCTCATATACATGGTGGTTTGAGGACTCAAACAACAATAGACATCTGTATGTTTCTGAAGACAACATTGCACAGCCCTTCTTCCTATCTTTTGCATTCTTCTGAGAGCTTCTTGAGCTTTAAAGGCAGCATAAATGCCCTCTTTAGACTGAATGCTCAGTCAGTCCTGACTCTTAACACCTTGAACAGCCAGGGTTCTGCACTTGCCATGATTTACTGCAAAGAAAAGTTCCCTGATTAAGCCGATGAATATTATCTGTCTTTAGCTTGACCACATCTAGAATCAGCTGAAACCCACGCAGCTGGCCACTCAGATGAGGGATGTTCTTAATTGGATTATTTGAAGTGGGAAGACCGACCTTCAATCTGAGCTGTACCCAGTGGCAGCCCACATAAAAGGGCATGGAAGAGGGAAGCCTTTGCTTTTTCCTGCCTGCTCTCACGGTCACTGGCAAGTTTACCTATCCTGTTGCCAAGGCATTCCTTTGCTGATATTAGAGCCTACTTTTCTGAGATTCTAATGTAGTCTGAAGACCTGCAGCTATTCAAGAATCTCTGGGACTCAAGCACCAGATTGAGACTGCTAAAATACCCATTTTTTTGTGTTTTCTTTTTTTGTTTGTTTTTCAAGACAGAGTTTCTCTGTGTAGCCCTGGCTGTCCTGGAACTCACTCTGTAAAACAGGCTGGCTTCGAACTCAGAAATCCACCTGCCTCTGCCTCCCAAGTGCTGAGATTAAAGGCATGCGCCACCACTGCCCAGCTAAAATTCCCATTCTTGTAGATTGAACAACTACCAGATTCTTGGCCTTTCTGTTAGAAGAGGTTGAGACCACAGCCCGTAAGCCACACTAATGTAATACACACACACACACACACACACACACACACACACACACCTCTTTTTTAATTGGTTTTACAGGGGTTTCTCTCCCTCCCTTCTCTCCCTCCCTACCTTCCTTCCTCCCTCCTTTGTCCAGTCCTCTGCCCCAATCCCTTCATAAACCTTTCTATACCTATCATTCCCCCGTCTCTGCTTTCATTTCTATTAGCGCCCCAACTCACCTTGAATGAGCCCATTTCAGTTTCCAGGCCTCTACACTTACCCCAAGTAAAACATACAGATTTAAAGATTCAAAGCTAGAATCCCCATGTAAGACAGAATATACAGTATTTGTCTTTCTGGGTATGGGTTATCTCAGTATAATTTTTTTCCAGTTCTATTCATTTACCTGAAAACTTTAGAATTTTATTTTTCTTGATAGCTGGATGAGATTCCAATGTATGTGAGCCGTAGTTTCATTACGTATTCTGTTGATGGGCATCTGGGATAGTCCTATTTTCTTGCTATTGGAAAGAGTGCAGCAGTAAACATGGATGTGCACCTCTCTGTGGTAGGACTTAGAGTCCTTTGCATGTACACCCAGGAGTGCTATGCTACAGCTGAGCCATATGGTAGTTCTAGTTAACACTAATTTCTTTACTGGTTTGTTGTTTGCATTCCTAACAACAGTGAATAAATGTTCCCCTCCCCCTCAACTGTACCAACATCTGCTGAAATCTGATTTTTTCATATTCTAATTGCATTGAGAAATTCAAAAGTGGTTCCTAAAATATGTAAATAGTGCTTATTTACTATATATATATATATATATATATATATATATATATATGCATACCACTGCACATGTAGGGAGATCAGAGAACAACTTCCTGGAGTCAATTGAGTCCTTGTACCATTTGTGGTCCCAGGGACTGAATTTAGTTCTTCAGGTTTAGCTGTAAGTGCCTTTACCTTATAAGTCCTCAAAGTTGTTTTCATTTTCGATTCCCTGATCATAATGATATGAAAAACTTTTTTAAAGTGTTTATTTAGGCTGGAGAGATGGCTTAGCAGTTAAAAGCACTGACCGCTCTTCCAGAGGTCATGAGTTCAATTCCCAGCAACCACATGGTGGCTCACAACCATCTGTAATGGGATCTGATGCCCTCCTCTGGCGTCTCTGAAGAGAGTGACAGTGTACTCACATAAATAAACAAATCTTTGTTTAAAAAAATGTTTATGAACCATTAGTATTTCTTGTTTTTGAGAGCTGTCTATTCATTCCCAAAGTCCATTTTGATTAGTTTTGTTGTTGTTGTTGTTTTGATGTTTGGCTTTTCTTTTAATACTTTGTATATTTTAGATATTAATCCTGGTTCGATTTCTATTTCCTTCCATTCTGTAGACTGTGTTTTTTTCCTCAACTGACAGGTTTTGCTGTACAGAAACTAACTTCATTAAGTTCGCTTTGCTAGTCGTTGGCCTTATTCTCTGAATGGTAGAGTCCTGTTCAGAAAGTCCTTAAGTATACTACTATCTTGTCTGCACTCCCTTTTATCTCATGCTGATTCAGAGTTTCAGGTTTTATAATGAGGTCCTTGAGCTGTTTGGAGTTTTCTACAGGGTGAGAGACAGGATCTG